GGCAGATAACATTGCCTCACACCTCTCTGTATACTTCAATACTCCTCTTCGTAACTCAATTTAATTTCAATTATCTCCAGTTGTTTATAAACTATATCAATAAATTCTGAATCCTGATGTTGATCAGTCATTCATTTGAGATTTCTATTCTAAGTTCACACGTTTTTCCGTCACACAAAAAGAATTCTACGTTTGCCTTGCGCTTTCTCTTCCTCTACTCTATTTTAAAATCATACGATTTCAAGTATGTCCATCAATGTTCAGATAATTTTTTTTTTGAAAAGATTACATTCGCAATAAGTATAGACTAAAAACTCTCATCTGAATGAAATAATGCCAAAAATATCAGAATAATTGCACGCCAACCAATATTTCCAATTCATATAGAGATAGATATCAAGACACATAATTCTACCAATATATCCACAAGAGCTTATATCTGTTTCAAATTTTATCGGATGTTGCGAACCAACAAATAACGATTACAGGCTCACTTGTAATAATATTAAAAACGTTCGTTCCAATTTCTGAATATCGTCATTTCACTTAAAGATACTTGAAGCCGAAGAATATGTCTCATGATCTGAGAAAATCGAGGCACACGTTTTTGAAAATAAGGCACCAATTCAATAAATGGTCTTACGACGGTCTCTTAATTGCACCGATTAAAAGGACGGACCTTTAACGTAAGGATTTTCTAGGAATTGGGTCTGATTTCTCCACCGCACACCTCATAGCTCAGATACTGCGTAGTAGGTTCAAGAAACCCACATTTGGTAACGTTAAATGACAACCCTGGTACAGTCAACACATTTAATACAACCTTCAGCCTTCGGAAAGCCTTTTCTTCCGAGTTTGCCATGATTAACACGTCATCTATGTAAACTATCGCAAATAATCATGATAAATTCCAAACGCCTTAACAATTGCCTGATGAAGATAGAAGATGCACTCTTCAAACCAAACGGCACAGCAGACCAAACAGACGGCAACTCGTAATGGCCCTCCAAGATAGCAAAAATTATTATTTTTTAACAGAAACATTTTCCTTCACAGGGTCTGACATAAGCGGCAAAGGCCACTGTCCGAAACCATTTTCGAATATTGCTCCCGATAGTCTAAGCACAACCTATCGTAGCACAGGGCTCGCCAATGGGAAGGCAGATGGGCAAACAACATTGCAATCAAACACATCTCTATTCCCATCTTTAACCAACAACTTTACGTCCACACCATGTGTGTAGGGACACCTCTGCACCATTCATGTCCACTAGGCGAACTTCCAAAGCACCAGTATATTAGCACGCTAAATTTTGGAACTCGTTATTTGTTATTATTAATCACATATTCCGGTTTACATTTCGTATTTCACCAATCACTTCGGCTCCTCACAGAGCAAAGCGCTTGCTTGAATCATAACCAGCCACTACTCGTAGGGAGTCTTCAATATTTACATGAAATATAATACTCAGGCTGAATTTAGAAGTTTGTATTTTTGCCAACTTTTGCAAATTTCTCTCAACCGAATTCAGCTCCCAAATCAAAGAATAATTGGAAAGGGCTCACCCGATACTGTCACTGTTAAATCACACAAATCAACCCGCTTCTCCTTGCAGCCGCCGATACCCATCTCGTGTGCTGTTGTTGTTGTCTTCCATTCTTCCCCAAATTTTCTGGCCGACAATGATGACACTTGCAACCGTCCGGCTCAACACGCGACCAGTGCATTTGACTGCCTATCACGACTCCGGTGTCTCGCACCACGCGGCTGCGCAAGCTTTCGATGCGCTACTGAATTTAATATCGACCGAAAATCACTTTATCAGAATGCCCGCGAGGCTATGGTGAATCCCACTTCTGATGTCGGAGATAACCGTTATTTAATTTAACCGTAGTCGAGCCAGCGAGTTCTGTCCGCCTGCGCACTCAAAACGTATCTGTCCTTACGTCACTTTTCCTTTAGCCTTTTTACATTTTTTTTACTTTTCACTCAAATGTCAATCCTAGACAATCTCTAGCTGTCTCTCTCACTCTTTCCTATTGTTGCGACAGACGAACAGACCTCACTCAGTAACCTTTTTCTGTTACCGACTCAACTGTCATTGCGCCTGCGCGCCAGCGACACCTACAGGCTACCAATACCTGAGCATGCCGAATAATTCTGTTGCCATCGCAACAAGCTTTCCAAATTTGCACTTAGAAACCAACTCGCCGACATATATATATATATGTAACCTAAATTCTTAATTATACAGCAACTACATCGGAGTCATGTTGGGCCCAATGTTACATCGGTGAGAGTAATAGCTACTGTGAGTATTGATAAGTGTTTATATGCGCAGATGATTATAATATGTATATATAAGATGATTTCAGACGAGATATTCCGCCCAATTAATTACTTAGTTATTGATTAAATTGATTCCATGCTAAAAATTACCTCTTATTGAATTAATGTTTAATGTAAATATAGCTGTTAGTTGTCTGTGTTAAGGAAATATGAAATTAAAATGAAACCTATTTGTACTCTCATGAACATAAACATGGTCGCTTAAATTATTATTATTTCCGTTCGTCGAGTACTCATGCCAAGATCAACTAAGATGAAGTAAATGTAAATATTTTTTTAATTTGGGACAACAGCCAAATTTTAGATATGTTGTCAAGGTTGGGTGGGTAGAGAAACGGGACACATAACACCTGTAATCCCAAACCGGGCAGGTTATTTTCTAGTTGGTGATTACGCGCGGCGGCGCGGATTCTGTACTTTATTTGATTTGTTTCATTACCATTTTAGAGCCCTATTTTTTTAGTTTATCTCGCGCATTATATGAATTGTGTTGTAAACAAAGATAGCTAGGGGAGAAAAAACCCCGCCCCATCCGACGAGCTGGACCCGAGCACATCGAGAATGCGCACCCTCGAACATAGCGTCTTAAAGAACTACTTTTACGGAACGATCATAGTTGGTAGGCCCTTATAGGCCTAGAAGGCTATTCCGTCCTGTTTTGTACACTACACATTCTGGCGCCCAACGTGGGGCTGAAAGGATATTTTTTCGTCCCATTTAAGCTCTAAAAATTTCATAAAGAACAACAAGTTATTGTTGAAGGCTACCTCAGTAAGTGGATATAGCGATTGCAATTCGGTGCTCGGATTGATCGACCCTAATAGATCTAGGCTGACCAAAATCAATTTATTAATGGTTAATTCTTTTGTGAGGAGTCGTTTGACTCCCCACCAATACTGGCGGCGGCAACAACAACAGCCCTAACACCGGCAACAACAACGGCCACAACACCGGCTAGCGCCGCCAGCAACGACGGCGACAACAACGGCCACACCAACGGCCAGCAGCATCACCGACAACAACAGCTCGCGCTCGCCGCCAACAACAACGACAGCCAGCGCCAGCTCCCGGCATCAGCAGCTCCCAAAGCCAACAACAACGGCGGGCATAGCCAACAGCAGCAGCGATAACAACAAGCGCAGCCAGCAGCGAGAACAACAAGCGCAGCCGACGGCAATAACAACTGCCGCCAATGCTCATAGAGAGCTATAGCCGACGGCAACAAGAACTGCCGCCAACGCTCATGGAGCGCCGCAGCAGCTAGCAGCAAAACCAAAACAATCCGGCAAACGCCCCAAATTATTCTCACTTTGTAAAATAGGTTTTGTAAATAATTCTGTATAATAATTCATCACTTATCACTTTTGTAAACATAAGCTTTGTATATAATCATTTCTCACGTTGTAACTTAATCTTTGTATATATAATCATTTTCTATTTTTTATAAAATAAGCTCTGTATACTTAATCAGCAAAGTTTCGCAATATAGTCATTTATTAGCTGTACAAAATTTAAGCGTAGACAAGAGTTTGTAGTTATCTTTTGGTTCCCTGTTCTCACATCGCTAGATCACACACGCACACACACACATACTCACTCGGAGAGAAGTGGAAAGTGAAGTTGCCGAGTACGGATGCGCCGCGGAGGCGCTCCCGCGTAATCCGCGTTGTGTGTGGGCTGCGGCATGTCCCCAACGAACCTGGGTGCAGGCCGGACGAGTGAGGCAGTGGGGAACACTCACCTGCAGCGGCAAGCCTTGGATGTCCACGGATGACCAAGTAAATCCGAATTACTAAACCTGTGATTTGGGCCGGCGGCGAGAGCGGAGAGAGTGGTGAGAGCATTCCTTCCAGTTTCTTGCCCCATTGTTGTTGCCTCCTCCAGTCCAGTGCAATATGCCTTCCACGGTAAATGTGGCTGCCCCCGCAGCATATGCCAGTCACGCCAGCTGATGGACAGATCAGCTGCGATTCAGTGTTGGATAGCTCCCAGTTCTGCATCGGTCTGGCAACCCCTCGCCGCCGCCAGGTGGCGCTGAGCGGATCCACCCAGCAGTTGGCGCTAGTGTGCCAACCCTAGCTGACGACGAAAGCTGCATGATACAGCACGCACATGCCAAACACCGATCCAGGAGGTAGCATACCTTTCAGGGTTGCTGCTCCTGATCCTTGGCTTGAGGAAGTGGGATCATCACGAAACTCGTGATTAAGGCCCGCACAGGGGATTAAATGGTGGTAAAGGTCAAGGAGCCGACCAACAGCCAACCCCTCCGCTCTGCGGTCCACCTTTAAAAATCGGGGCTCTGGCGACCGAGCAGGGGCGGTATAACCCCCACCTGCTAAGTCTCGGGGAAACCCCTGACCCTCGAGGGACCCCACAAGTGCACTCGCCTTCCCTCCACACTCCTCCACGTAGCGTCTGTCCCATATTGGGCGGCTATGTGATCTGCGACTGCGCCACATTGGCCGGCAGAAGACCAAACCTGGCAGCAGACACCAGCTGCTCCCAATCCCAAACCCAGGCAGCGTCTGACCCACATTGGGCGGCTACCTGGTCTGCGTCTGAGCCACATTGGCCGACAGTTAACCATACCTGGCAGGAGGTATAAAATGCAGCCCTTGCATTGGGCCAAAATGCAAACTAAAACGGAATGTCTTCGCAAAACGTGAATACTCCAGGTGGCAGCCACACATGTGGAAATCCACCCGCGGGAGACCCCGCGGCCAGGGCAAGGATTCTGGAGGCCCTAAAAAACGTTCCCCCAAGCACTGACGTGGCGGTGGCTGACTTGGCCGCCACGGTAGTTAATACGCCAAGCCAAGACGACGAGAGAGACGACGGTCCCATGGCCTTTAGAAGGAGCAGCAGGGTTCTAAGATCCCCGCTCCTCCAAGCGAGCAAGGCTCCGGCACCGACAGCAGGAGAGAATGCGGACTCCCTAACTCCTAAAAGGACACGGGACGCCGCCAGCCCAGCAGGCGTTCAGCGCGAGACGCCTCCTAAAAGATGCAGGGAATCCCAGTGTCTTAAAAACATCGCGGAGCTGGGCAAGATCCTGGATGATGTCCTCGACGACATCAACAATAAGCAGGTCCGGCACATAACCTTGGTTATGAAGACCAAGCTGGCGAGGGTGAAAGACCTGCAAGCCGACATAGGCGAGTGGCTTAACTCTGCTCGGAAACCTGAGGAGACAGATCGACCCGAACCTGCAGTAGCATGCCACAACTGCTCTCAGGGCGGGAAGAAGACAGAGAGCACCCAGAGACGGGACGCAGTGCAGCAAACCCCCAAGGTCTGGAGCAAGGACTGCGCAACGCAGACGGAGGCGCCGCGAGCCCCGACCACCACCGAGAATCCGCAAGTAAGGGTGGCCAAAACGAGCGCGAAGAATCAGCGGCGTGCCCCCACGCCTGCTGAAGCTGCTAAGCAGGGGAAAACCTCCGTAAGAGGGACACCCGCGGCCAGCGCGCCCAAATCCAGGGCACCCAACCCGCCGCAGCCAATCGGTCCAGCGTCTGAAGGCCCAGAAGCCGATGGAGGCACCTGGAGAACCTTCACGAGGAAAAAGCGGCGCAAGAAGAACGAGGCTCCTCATCGGTCCCGCCCGGACGCAGTCATTATAGCCGCGAAAGGGAAAACTTACAGCGAAATCCTGGCCATGGTCACCAGAAGGGACGACAGCCAGCTTACAGGCCTGGGTAACTGCGTCAAAAAGGTTAGACGAACCACAAACGGCAACCTTTTGCTAGAGATGGCGAAGGATAGCGCCGAGAGTGCAGCGTCAATGCGAACGAGCATTGCGCAGGTGCTTGGCGACACGGCGGAGGTTCGGGCGATGTCAGAGGACTCAAAGGTCTTGATACTCGAGATCCGAGAGCTGGACGCCCTGACCAAGGAGCCCGAGATTGTGGCCGCAATCGCGGAGCAATTCAGCTTGGATGGGGCCAAAGTCAAGGTGCGGAGCCTCCGCCCGGGCTATGCTGAGTCCCAGACGGCAGTAATTAGCCTCCCGTGCCCCCTGGCCAAGGCGGTGCTCAAGAGAGGTTCTCTGCGCATAGGCTGGACCTCCTGCACGATCAGGGAGAGAACAGGCCCCCCAAGATGCTACCGGTGCCTTGAGGCTGGCCACCTGGCCTCAAACTGCAAAAGCGCTACTGACCGGAGTGGGTGCTGCATAAGATGCGGGGAGAGTGGACACAAAGCCGCAAAGTGCCCCAACGAGCTGAAATGCTTCCTTTGCGCTGCTTCCGGCAAGAACAAGACGAGGCACCAGGCAGGCAGCAAAAGCTGTCCGTCCAGGAGCTCCAGTAGCAGTGGCGCCGGCCCCCCGAAACGCGCCATGCAGTTGATTCAGCTGAGCCTGAATCACTGCAGGGCAGCGCATGATCTGCTGATGCAGACGGTGCGCGACCTGGACGCGGACGTGGCGGTGCTCAGCGAGCCATACAAGGCTGCAAGCACTCACGGTTGGGCCATGGACCGGACCGGCAAAGCTGCGCTGTGGATGTGTGGGCGGGAACCCGCTCACATGTCCGACGTCAGATCGGCGAATGGCTTCGTTCGCGGTAGAGTAGGCGGGGTGTGGGTGTACAGCTGCTACCTGGCACCAAGCCTCACCCTGGAGGCCTTCAGCAGTATCATCGACGAGCTCAGTGATGACATCCGGGGACGGAGCAACACTCTAGTGGGCGGCGACTTCAACGCTTGGGCTCAGGATTGGGGGTCGCCCTCAACCAACGCCAGAGGCCGCATCATCCTGGAGGCCTTCGCCTCCCCTGGATATCGCTCTGCTCAATGAGGGTACCCAGCATACCTTCAACAGAGCGGGAGCAGGGTCCGTTATAGACCTCACTTACGCTAGCAGTGCACTAGCCTGCCTAGCCAGGTGGAGGATCAGCGAGATCTATACAGCCAGCGATCATGAGGCCATCCTCGTCTCCCCTCGGCGAGAACTCACCGAGCAGGACGATCCCGCCCAGTGCAAATAAGGCGTTCCGGCAGGACACGCTCAACGCCCAAGTGTTCACGAGCGCCTTAGCGGGCTTAGCGACAGACGAGACGGACAGCGCCAACGATGCTGCGCTCAAACTGGCGGTCGCTGTCGAGCGAGCATGCAAGGCAAGCATGCAGCAGCGGAAAACTTTCCGGAAGCACCACTCACCCGTTTACTGGTGGAACGACGACATCGCCACCTTACGCTCGTCTTGCCTCCGAGCTAGGAGGCTCGTCCAGAGAGCGCGCGGCTCTCCGAACCTTCTAGCCCGAAGCGAGGAGTACAAGACCGCAAGGTCCGCCCTGAAGAACGCGATTAGGACCAGCAAGAGAGAGTGCTTCCTTAAGCTCTGCGACGACGTCGAGAAGGACCCATGGGGCGGGGCTTATAAAAGGTGGTGAAGCGCGTGAACGCCGGCAGCAAAGCCCTCCGGACCCGGAGACCCTTGAAGGATTAGTCAGGGTGCTTTTCCCAACTGGACAGCCGCTGTACCTACTTAAGCTCTGCGACGACGTCGAGAAGGACCCATGGGGCGGGGCTTATAAAAAGGTGGTGAAGCGCGTGAACGCCGGCAGCAAAGCCCCTTCGGACCCGGAGACCCTTGAAGGATTAGTCAGGGTGCTTTTCCCAACTGGACAGCCGCTGTACTACCCGGTGAGCAGTGACTCTTGGGAGATATGCCCGGTCTCGGAACAGGAGATTCTAGAGTCTGCGAGGACCCTGAATAATAAGAAGGCACCAGGTCCCGACTCGATACCTAACAGGGGCGACCAAGATGCTGCTCTCCCTGCACCCCAATGTGATCGCCGAGATCTTCAACAAGTGCCTCTCGGAAGGCACGTTCCCAGAGCGATGGAAGCGACAGAAGCTCCTCCTCCTGCCGAAGCCGGGGAAGCCCGCGGGAGAAGCGTCGTCGTACAGACCCATCTGTCTGCTAGACACGATCGGGAAAGTCTTTGAGAAGGTTATCGTGGCGAGGCTGGAGGTTGCTATAGAGCGCGCTGGTGGACTCTCGGAAAACCAGTTCGGCTTCCGGAAACGGAAATCGACCCTGGACGCCATCGAAGTGGTCACCAACTTGGCCGCGAATGCCATCGCAGGCACTAGATGGAAAAACGGCGCTAAGGAGTACTGCCTAGTGGTAACGCTGGACATCCGGAACGCGTTCAACTCTGCGGACTGGAGGCGGACACTGGAGGCGGACACTGGAGGCCCTCGAAGCCTTCAACATCCCCGGTTACTTACTAAGGATTATCCGCAGCTACTTCAGCGAGAGGACACTCATCCTGGATACTACCATTGGCACCAGATCGCACGAGGTCTCAGCCGGAGTCCCGCAGGGCTCCGTCTTGGGGCCTCTGCTCTGGAATACTATGTATAACGGAGTACTAAACCTCCCGCTATCCGAAAACACCACCATAGTCGGCTTTGCCGACGACGTGGCGCTGGTGCTCGTAGCGAAGGAGCTAGCAAAGGCAGAGTCAATGGCAAACAGCGCAATCCGAGCGGTTGAGTCCTGGTTGGCAGTCGCCGGCCTTGAACTGGCCTCACAAAAGACGGAAGCAGTGCTGATATCTAGCAGAAAGCGCGTGGAAACGGCCGAGATTCGGGTTGGCGGCCTGCCAATTACCTCGCAGCGCGCGATAAGGTATCTGGGCGTCTACCTGGATACCCGCCTCTGCTATAGAGAGCACTTGGAATATATCCACGGAAAGGCTAGCGGAACAGTAAGAGCCCTCTCTAGAATTCTGCTGAACACAAGAGGAAGTTGCTCACGAGTGTCGTCACTTCCCAACTCCTCTATGCAGCCCCGGTCTGGGCGGAGGCCGCAAATGTTAAAAGCTACGTGAGGGGTGCGGAAGGTACCTACCGCCTGTGCGCCCTGAGAGTAGCGTGCGCCTTCAGGACGGTTTCCGACGAAGCGGCCCTGGTCATCGCAGGGCTGGTGCCGCTGAGAGAGCTAGTGCGAGAAGCCCAGGAAGCCCGTCTCTCACGTGAGCCGGACAACCCTTCGGAAAGGCGCGAGGCCAGGGTCAGTGCCAGGCGCAGGAGCATCGCCCGGTGGCAGTCCAGGTGGGACAATTCTACAAAGGGCCGATGGACTCACCGCCTGATTCCGGACGTCCAAAGCTGGGTAGGCCGAAAACACGGCGAGGTAGACTTCTACCTGACACAGGCACTTAGTGGACACGGTTGCTTTCGAAGCTACCTTAAAAGATTCGGCCACGACACAGAGGACCACTGCCCTGAATGCGGGACTGGAGTGGAGGAGAACGTGCACCACGTTCTCTTCGATTGCCATCGATTTCACCACGAGCGGCTAGCACTGGAGGAAGTCGTGGGCGCCGCCATCGGAGCTGATAACCTGGTCCCCATCATGCTTGCCAGCCAGAAGGCCTGGGACGCGACAGCCACGTTCGTGGCTAGCGTTATGAAAACGCAGAGGACCCTGGAGACGGAAAGAAGGATGCGAGCGGAGTAGGTGGCCTGTACCTCGCGCGAAGCAATGCTTAGCGGCGGTACCGCGCGACCATGGCCATCTACACCGTTAATATAGCACCATTCTACCCAACAACCCGCAGTCTTCGCTCTTTATGTTGTTATTTGTTTATTTGTTGTTTAGCAAAATGTATGTTTTAATAAATGGAATATAAAAAAAAAAAAAACTCGGAGAGCAGAGAGAGTTATTCACCACGAAAAAGTGGAGTTGCGACAGATTTAGGTGGCCAGCAAAGGCATCTTGGAAGCGGACGGAGGCCACGGCGGCGGAACATCAGCCACGTGCGTGTGTGTGTGCGGACAACTGAGACGGGTGAGTGATTAGGGTGAACCGCATTCTGGCCAGCGAGACTCACGTGCATTTAGAAATTTCTCGACGGCCAAGATGCGGTTTCGCTAGAGTAGGCTAGAAAAATTAAATAATTAACACTGCGAAAAATTTTAGAAATTAAGCCCCGAAATAAACGAATGAGAAAATAATGAAACCAAAACGCAGAACTAATGTAAATAATTAAAAATGGAAAACAAAAATTTATTTAAATAAACTTGTACATATATACATATGAAATTGAAAACTAAAGCTCCCCTCGCTGTCGCCATGTTATTTCCCCTGACCTACGACAAATTTTCGTCGAACGAGACGGCTAAGGGAAAAAAAGGGTGGACCCAAACTTCGCTAAAAGTCTCGGTGAAATTTAGAAATTAAAATAATTCGCTCCGCCCGGTTCTCCTCATAGTAAAAATCAGTTGGCAACTAATAAGGAAATATTTTATTACAAAGTCAAAGTCCGGCGAAAGGGGTGGACCTTATCTTCGGGGCCAATATATTACCGCGAATTAAATCGAATATTTCTCCGGTTATTTACCGCAGAGCTACGGCCATGCGTTTGTCATGAGAGATTTTTCAGACATAGTTCGGCGGGGAATAGGCGAGTCTTCCGCCTACACTGGGAGAAATTTAATAAATTCGAGAAAACTCCCTTAAATACAATTCTTGACCCAAATTTGAATATTTGCTCATAGGGGGCGATCCCAAATCACGTTGGCCATGACTCACGGAATATATTACCACAAAAATGCCTAGTTTCTAAGCCATAACTTCTACCCTAGGAAGCGGTGCTCCCCATAATCGACCCCTCTCTCGGTCTCCCCATAGCGTCTGCTATGGGCCCGACCCAAAAAGCGCTTCCGCCGATTATTTCGCTCTATTGCAAAGACCGGACAAGCCATTTCTCTGGCTTCGTATCCCGGTAACTGACAATTACCATCTCACGTCAGTTTACCGCACGTCAAATGCCTTTTGTCCCATTTCTTTATAAATTTTTCTGATAAAGAGGACCTGGACGAGACTGAGACCTACCCCAGCCTTAGAACTTCCTTACACTTTAAACGAAGTCTTATAGAAAGCAAACTCTAAGTGCTTAGGAAATACAATGTTCTAGAGAGCCTTTGGACATTGTCCAGTAATTTGAGTAGTTTCGCGAACAAATTTCAACCTTTAACTAACTGCAATAGAGTAACCTAAAAGAAGAGGATACTTGGCTTGATTTATAGAATCTGTGGATAAGGAAAGACGGACATTAGGAGATGATTAAATTAAATTCATTCGTTGGAATTGCATGAGAATGGAAGACTTTATTTATAGGATACGATCTTTGACGGAACAGAACTTGAATAATGATTATCAGCTTCTCTGTGACCACTTGCAACTTTTATTTGCTAATAAGGCAAGTGATTGGTTTTGGAAATTTCACCGCAACTATATCAATTTTACTTGGAATATATTTTGTATGGAATTTCGTAAACGTTTTGAGGAAGCGGAGGCTGATCTTGACATTTGAAATGAATCTTTTGATGACTATCAATACGCAATAGAAGACCTAGCTAGAGATGGGCGCGTGTCAAAAATTTTCAACACGACACAACACGAACACGAAAAAATTTATTTTGTGTAACACGAACACGCACGAAACACGCACAACCAACACGAAAATTTTTTTTCATATTTGTTTCAATTTTGTATCATATTACATTACAATGTAATGATTATATTGAGTCAGTGAGCTTTTTTTTAACAATAACCGTTGGTGGAGCCCGGATAAATAAAAAGACGCGCTAAATTTCTTATTAAAATTAATGGTACTTTATTCACTTATCATTACAGTAAAAGCGCGTTTACATGGCGAAAAATTAACATAAAAAACATTAAAATTCATACATATTTTTGTGTAAAAATACCAGTTCATCCAAATTACTGCTGAGCAATCTTGTTCTGCGCTCGCACAGAACCATGCCAGACGTTGAGA